ATATATAATATATATATATAACATTTCTGTCCCCCTCACTTCTGAAATGATGGCTACGCCCCTGTATACACAGTGTAGTTTTACCGAACAAACAGCAGAAACGGGGAGAAAGACCGTGGCAGCTGCCAGAAACGACTAGTGGCAGCTGGGGATGCCACCGGAAGTGGCGCTGCGACCTGCCGCTGCCAGGATTTGCGCTTGCTCTCTCTCTGGTAACGCCAGAGGCTGGAATCTGTATTGAGTTTTGTGAGCATTTTTACTAGGATTGCTTAAAATGGATAGATGTCGGAAGCCTTTGGTGAAGACTTGTTTTAGCGAATTGAGCACTGGCTCAGTTTTATTTTAAAATGTTGTGGATTTTTTTGCAAAATATGACAAAGTAAAGGATGAAATGATGCATTTACTCTATGCACTGTATCCAATATTATATTATAATATTTGAAAATATAACTTTTTTGTATGTTTACTCTCTTGTATACATTTATATAAGATGGATTATGTAGATGCATATGGATTTATCAGTATATTGGGGTTAACATTAAATATATTCAGCATTCATGGTCACACTTTATATGACAGTGTTCTTGTTACTGTGTAGTAACTATGCCAATGAACTACTGTGCAATATTTAAATATTTTGCGAAGCTGCTTGTAATTACACACTTGTACATATTTATATGTAAAATATATGTTTTTATTATATTATATTATAATATATTATATACTGGGATTTATCACAATGTACTTGTCAGACTCTGTTCCATGTTTTGTGTGTGTCTTGCTCCCCATGTGCCTTCCTGTGCCCTTATTTGGTTAGTTTCCTGTTCCTCCCCTGATTACTTGATGTTTCATTGCTCCCAGGTGTGTCTCGTCATCCCCTCCTCCTGTGTGTATAAATAGTGTTCCCAGTCCCAAGTTCTCTTTCCGCTGTAAACGTCTTCCTGAGTTCGTCTCCCTTGGTTCCTGAAAATAAAGTCTTGGTAAAAGTATTCTCCAGCGTCTCCTCGTTCCTCGTGTGTGTGCAGCGTGACAGTACTGGGGTTTAACAGAAGTCATTTCTGTGGTTATGAACTATGTGTAATATTTAAATATTTTGTTAAGATGCTTTTAATTACACACTTGTACATAATTATATGTAAAATAAAAGTTTATATGGCCCAAATATTTTTATTTTATTGTATTATGTATTTTATTATATTGATGAATATAAGCATAGTTGCCTCTTATGCACAGTTGAAAAAAAGGTTGACATTACTTATAGTGTACTGGCATAAAATAATACATTAAATGATCTTTTACTTTGTTATGTTATGTTTGTTATGTTATGCTAGATTATGTTATGTTATGTTTGTTATGTTGTTATGCTAGATTATGTTACGTTATATGTTATGTTATGTTAGATTATGTTATGTTATGTTATGTTATGTTATGTTATGGTAGATTATGTTATATTATGTTATGCTAGATTATGTTATGTTATGTTATGATAGATTATGTTATGTTATGTTATGCTAGATTTTATGTTATGTTATGTTATGTTATGTTATGTTATGTTATGTTATGTTATGTTATGTTATGTATAACAATCCAATCCAAGCTTTGGCACACTCCATCTTTCCGCTGTGCAGTTTAGCGCTCATGTTATGTTATGTTATATGTTATGTTATGTTATGCTAGATTATGTTATGTTATGTTATGCTAGATTATATTATGTTATGTTATGTTAGATTATGTTATGTTATGCTAGATTATGTTATGTTATATTATGCTAGATTATGTTACGTTATATGTTATGTTATGCTAGATTATGTTATGTTATGTTATGTTATGTTATGTTATGTTATGTTATGTTATGTTATGTTATGTTATGTTATGTTATGTTATGTTATGTTATGTTATGTTATGTTATGTTATGTTATGTTATGTTATGTTATGTTATGTTATGTTATGTTATGTTATGTTATGTTATGTTATGTTATGTTATGTTATGTTATGTTATGTTATGTTATGTTATGTTATGTTATGTTATGTTATGTTATGTTATGTTATGTTATGTTATGTTATGTTATGTTATGTTATGTTATGTTATGTTATGTTATGTTATGTTATGTTATGTTATGTTATGTTATGTTATGTTATGTTATGTTATGTTATAACAATCCAATCCAAGCTTTGGCACACTCCATTTTTCCGCTGTGCAGTTTAGCGCTCATGTCCAGCAGAGGGCAGCACACTGCAACATATGGTAGGGAAAGTTCAAAGAGTTTTGGTTCAGTGTAATACTGACTTCAGTGGATGGATTCTGAAACGTGTTTGATCTATAACACTTCTAAACAACCTTTATATTATATATACCCCACTTTACAGTTTTATATCAAATACAACTAAATAAAATAAGGAGCACACCGTATTTATAAGCCATATTTTATATAATTTCGGGCCTAGAAAAGAAATGTAATATGACAATTATTCAAGATTATTTAAAATGAGATTTTTAGTTATAATCAGCTCTAAAATATTTTATTGACTATAAAATGTTTTGTTTGTAAGTTGTGAGTGATTTTTGAAATCTTTATCTAGTAATCACAAACAACTGTCTGTGATTCATAGTCACAAACAGAAATAGTGTGCCTGGGATGTGTTCAGTCATGTGTAGGTCTAGTTCCTGGAGACCTAGCATGCAACCTGCTGTGCATGTTATTGTGCAGTAGATTTGTGTGTGTGTGTGTGCATGCGTGCGTGCGTGAGTGTGTGTGTGTGTGTGTGTGTGTGCGTGTGTGTGTGTGTGTGTGTGTGTGTGTGCGTGTTGTTTCAGCACTCATCAGCTCTGGGACAGTGGCTGTGTTCTGTCAGCACACCTGTGATCTGTTCTGCCACCCAAGCCTTGCGTTTGCTCATTTACTGCTGAGCCGGTGATCTGCCCCGCTGTGTGTGTGCCACGTGTGATAAAAGGAACTGTGTTTATGTGTTTGTGAGTTGTTGAGGTTAACCTCAGTATGGGTCAGGAAGGATATACAGTAGTAAACCTACTACAGATGTGGTTTAAAACATTTCAAGTGTTTTAAAAGGATTCATACTTATATATAGGCCTACCGATATACCATGTGCATAAGCAATATACAAACCTAGTCATCCAGCCTTTTACTACAAGTAAAACAGTAGATATTTGCATTTTCTAAAGAAAACTCACCACCACAATGCTAATGTTTGAGTAGTTGCCAGGGTGTTGCTCTACGGTTACTAAGGTGTTTGTTAGGGTGTTGTTAAGCAGTTGTCCTGAGTGGTTTGAAGTGTTACTTAAGTGTTTGAGTGGTTTTAAGTTACTTAGTGGTTTCTAGGGTAATGCTAAGTGGTTGCTAATATGAGTAGTTGTTCTGTGTTCTCACTAGTTGTTAGGGCAATGCTAAGTGATCGCTTGTTGCTAGGTGGTTACTACAACAGTATAATGAGTGGTTGTTAGAGCCATAGGCAGAGGCCCCATTAGTGGCTGTTCCTATGGGCCGCTATACATAAGCCATCCGCCATATTGGAAAGGTCAAAGACAGTCCATGAACACTCGAGAGCAAGTTGCCTGTGTGTTTGAAACCGTAGTTATACACATGTATGAATATCTATATCTGCAATAGACTTCAGCAGATGATTTTGCCTGTAATATTAAGTTAATACATATTAAAAACACAAACCAACACATTCTTACCTGTGAAAGTTACTTTATGCAGTTTCTTCAGGAATTAAAATTTCGGTGTTTTTACAACCAGAGGCTGCACAATGTTGTGGCATCTTGAAACTCATTGATTTTTATTGTGAGGGACGAAAACATTGACCGTTCCAAGATGGCGGACGCGTCGACATGTCTGGAGTGGTCGAATGTGGCATCTACCTATACATATCTATGGTTAGAGCATTGCTATGTGGTTGCTAGGGTAGTTGCTAGGGCAATGCTAACTCTGGGAAGAAAGTACACTTATGCATTCTTTAAAAAAGATGACTTATTATGGAAATAATAAACTTTTAAAAATATATAATATAAATATATTTATAGTGTATATGAATGAATGTTTTTAGACTGAAAACGTATTAGTTTAAATGTACATTAAATGCAATTACTTAACTTTAGAGGGGTTTATTGACCCACTTAAGTAGGACTTAAGTACATCTTAGTATGCCTTTTCATAATTACTTCAATTGTGCTTTGAAATATGGTTAAAGTGTACTCCTGAATGTACTGACAAGCACTTATCATAAACTAAAATATACTTTAATGTC